CTAAGGAACGAAATTGGGTGCAATTATTACCCTTGCTGCAATTCATGTCATTTAAAGCTTCAGTTCTCAGGGGTTGTGATGAATACTGATTCTCGCCTTGTATTATGCAAATTTAGTTTTTTTTTCTGCACCCCAAAAGATACATGTGTACGAAGTTTCAGATTTCTAACCTTTTTGGAACATGGTTAGAATTAGCGTCAGTCAGTCACGATAGTCGACAAACGAAGGGACATGGAAAGCGACAATTTGACTTTACTGAGACAATTAGTTCAGGAAAAATGTTAAGTACCAGATGGATTCCCCTGGGGGCACTTTTTGGGGGCTGACATTTCGAAATAATTTTTTGTATCATACTGAATTTTGCAGATAGAAAGGTTGAACTTGACACTGAGGTGATGTTGAGTTCAGAAAAAATTCAACTTTTTGGTGCTTACCCCCAGGGCACAGCTCTTTGCTGACACAGGTTTTCCAAATGTAATTTGTAACCAGCGAAAAGGGTAAACAGATGAGGCTGAATCTTATTTGGTACGTAGTTCTCCAAGTATCGATTTCATTAAAATTCTTGATTTTTAGGTAAAACTCCTGAGGGAACATTTTTGCAAAATACGCATTTTCCGGAATCTTTTCTGATCTGATGAAAGAGATGAACTAAAGAGAGGTGAATCTTGGAACAGAAGTACCTATTCGATTCTTGAATGCAGAACTACTTTCAAATGTCTCCCCTCAGGGTAGATTATAAATATTTGAAGTTAGGCACACAAGAAATAATGGGAGTAAAATATTTCCATGAAAATATTTGTTTAGCCTCTCACAGACAGGTGAATGCTGTTAATACTTTTCCGCACTTAGAAAATGAATAATTGGATGCATCACCCTGGACAATGGAGCGTCGAAGGCGCGACCAGCGATATGCATGCGCATGGAAGATAGGACCGATCATGCTTTGTCAATTGCACCTGATGTGCAGCACAACCGTGGCATCATATTTCAAATTATTATCTCGTCCATTGAAAACACCTAATATTGGTGAAGGAAAATAATAACCAATGCCATTTCTTCTAAGACTATTATCAGATTTGTGAGGAACATTGGAGTGTAGCAAATGCATGTCATGGGCCACCTTTTAGGATAATGCATCTCGTATATGAAATAAATATACAAGTGGACAAAAAAGTTGCTTTTTTGGTGAGTCGTCATTTTCATTGCGTTTTGCCGATTTGGAAGGGCTCATAGGGTCATAATACAGTTGGAGTTTTCATGCCAAATTTCAGCCTTTTTACTTTCAAATTATACGAGTTGTTATTATTTTCCGATGAGCCACAACAAAATGTGCTGTCGAAAATAGTGATATGTACTTGAGGTCTGGATGAAAGGAAAGACGGAATTCAGGACCTTCCATTCAAGCATGATGGTATAAGGGAAGGTTGGGGGGCACTGCCTCAAAGATTTATTGACCGAACCCTCAATCCGTGGCGCCCAGGACGCAAGGCTTGTGTTCAACAGAATGGACGGCTCATTGAGCACTTCATCAGCTGAAATGAACCAACCTAAATCAAATTGTGCACTTTGCTTTTTGGCATTTGAGCTTTTTTTTGCTTATTTGCTTTTATTAGTTTTGAGAAGTTTTACATTGAACGAAAAAATAAAAACTTTTGGATGATGAAAAAGAAATTAAATTCCAATCTCATCGCTTTTGAAATTGTCATTTGAAACTAGGCACACAAACTCTAATGGAGTCATATTATGTGCCTATTAAATTTCATACGAATCGGCGGCCTACAATCCGATTAACAATTCATCAAATATAATAAATTTGGTTTTTGTGGCCTACCCTGTATATTCTAAAATTTGTTCCTTAAAATACAAGTTTTAGTTGCATATAATTGTTGAATATAATTGGCCTAAAAAGATATTCTCCTTCCCTCACGAAATTTCCCATTTTCACCTCGCAGCAGAAGTTAGAGAATCAGCTCTGTCCCTTTCTACCGAACCAGTTCAGGCTTAAACGTGAGTGCAGTTGGAATGAATTGTCTTGCTTGGCAGAAATATCCTTTATTGCAGTGGAGAACCAATGCGGACGCTCTAATTCGGCCAGAGAGTCCTCCTCGAGTAACTGGTTCCGGCGTTTCCTGGAGATCTTCCTTGGGCAAATGCCTGAGACCGAAGCGGGCAACACACAGATGGATCCTCGGATCATCGGCGGATCCCCTGCCACCATCACGGAGGCACCTTGGGTCGCCTACATTACCATCTTGTTTGCTGACTCATCCAGGAATTGCACTGGCGTCATCATCGACCAGCTCCATGTTTTGACTGCTGCTACATGCGTCACGTTGGGGTCAGTTTGTCTCTCATCATGAGCTGCTCACACCTTCAAATAATGAATAGGCTTTGGTAGTACTTATTCTCTTTCTTCAACCCTTTCACGTTACAAAATTCAAACTCCTCCTATTCCCCTCCTTGAGAATGCTAAGGAACGAAATTGGGTGCAATTATTACCCTTGCTGCAATTCATGTCATTTAAAGCTTCAGTTCTCAGGGGTTGTGATGAATACTGATTCTCGCCTTGTATTATGCAAATTTAGTTTTTTTTTCTCCCTGTTCTGGGTAGCCCCCCTGGGATGTTTTCCGAAGAAGTATTCCAAACAAGTTAAAATGATTGCATTGAAAATCACGCAAAGTTCCCTTTTTGTTGCTTGCAATGCTTAATTCGCTATAACGTATCCTTAATTTTGTTCCGATTTCAGGGGATGAGCCATGATCGAAACGGTTTCTTGGAAGAGCCGAACTTTAGGGTAGGACGTGGAGATATCGAGTACGAGCATGACTAAATAAACATGATAGTGCTGGGCATGTAAGGCAAGGCATTCTCCATATATTGATAGTTCAAGAAATTCCAGATAGGGCTAACGTTACATGTCTTTACCGATATCGCTCGACAACACCAATATTAAGTCATAATTGGTCTCGTAAACGGAGGACTGATATTATTTCAAACGAAAGAAAGTAGGCCTACGCTCAACGTTTCGAAGACCCATAGAAGGGTATGGGTGGAAGAAACTGGAGAAGCCATTGAATAATGGATTTCACACTACTTCATGATTCCTATTATAAGTGGACGGCATGTTTCGACAGCACGCTAACAGACGTCAACTTTGAATATCGAGGATGAAACCCACATTCGGCAGTTTACGGGGAACATCGGTGTCTACGATGCAGGGAAACATGAATCAGAAACATCATGATTAACAAAGCCGTCAGAGTAGACACATTTTCTCGTATAAATAGGAGAACCCAGAATGCGTTACTCTTTGTTCCTTTGGATTTCTATCAAGAATTTATGTAGCATCTGCTGTGAAAGTGGCCGTCGGGAACGAGAATTACCATCTGGGAACGACATACAACGCAGTCTCCTGGGAACGCCACCCTTCCTTTCTAAACAGTGAGTGAAAGAAATGCTAAATTCCTATATGTAAATACATTTTATTCTGGAAGTAATATCTTACAACTACACTGCACGGTGATGAATTTTATAGCGAATAATTGTTGGAGAGTCGAGAGGAAGCGAGCTACTGTGACATGTCACATAATTTGGAAGAGAAACCTGGGGTTTTCCCGGGCGGAGTTATTTTGGAAGTTCATCCCAGGACAATGCACATTTATGTTCTGTAGTTTTATGATAGAGGAATAGGGGTTCAATCATAATGCAAAATGTGAGTTCTGCTCGTTTCTTGGTCACGTTTTAATCTGTCGGGATTCAAATAACTGCGTTCATGTAAGACAACTAGGAGAATTTTCGTGAATGTATGTTTTTTTTAAGCATCACTTTGTATCTAGCACAGTTAATAGGAAATCGCAATAAGATTCCTATTGACGTCATGCCTAGAGGTCGGATGCCGTTCCGATACTTCGTCAATTCGTTTCCTAGGCAACTCTGCTTGGAAATGCAATTGCGATGTATATTCATCATACATCAGATGGATTTCGTAGTGTGATTAAAAGTTCCGCAACTGACTTTTAAAATGACATGAAAGCATTAGCTATTTGTTGTTGTCTCCAAGGTATTCCCATATTGCATGGTGCAATATTCTTCGGCACCCTCCTGAGTTGCAGGTCTTAAAAAAATGCATCCCAATAATGCATCCCATAAGAAAACAAACAATTAGGCGTCTTTTTGATCACAACTTGTTACCCAAGTGATTCTGAGAGACCAACACGGAAAATCAACAGGAAGAAGGAATCTCGCATCACTTAATCCGATAGTCATGAATACATCTATTTACAATTCCGTTTCACCTGGTTTATTTGCAGATAGCAACTTTAACGACGTCGCAGTGATTAAGTTGGGCCAGAACCTGACTTTCTCCCCCTCCGTTCAACCGATCTGCATTCCAAAAACCGAGAGCTTCAAAGATGCCGTAGCTTGTCCTGCCAAAATGTTTGGATGGGGGATCACCAGCTATAATCCACAGACCTACCCTACGGTCCTGCAGAAGCTAGACGCGAAAGTTCTACCGGAGACTGAATGTTTCGCCGGGTTCGACAATGGGCGTGTATGCCTAAAGGGTCTCACATCGCCTTCTGGAGCTTGCAGTGTGAGTTGTCACACCTCTATCCCAGCATTAAAAGCATATTAAGGAGAGATACGGAGTTGAAACGACCGCATTCCTATCTGAACAAAGACAAATGTCCGTTTCTCACTGTCATAGGGAGACGAAGCAATACCTGGAGTCATTTATATCAACAGTGTGGCCTACATCATTGGAGTGGGTATCTTCCCAAATTGCGCAGGACCTTTTACGGATCTATTCACTAGGGTCGCCCCCAATGCCGACTTCATCTATAATGCCGTCACCAGCGGATGAAATTGCTCTCTATTGTCAATTTTTGCATGGAAACACTTGGAGTCCATCTCACTAAATCTCGTTGCTTTGATCTTTGAGTCTGCCTCACTAATTGGAACGAAAGCTGGAAATTGTTCCGCGTCGTCTTATAAATGTTCGAAAAGCCAAAGGACGACTATGGACGTGAAAATACGTGAAATACTGCACCATAAATCCTCGAATCATGGGCATCTTAAAATGAAAAAAAAAACACATTGTGACAACAATGTGTTTTAAAACGTTTCAACATCTCAGACGTCTCAACGTCTCCTAAGACGTCATGACATATTAGAGCCTACACCACTGGTATGCATGAATGATAATTTCCTCTTTATATCAAACTTAGCGAATAGTTTTCTGAATACATCTAAAATGTTTGCCGCATAAAACCCTTTTCATAAATGGTTAATATACCCCTCATGGAATCATTCCAGGAAATTCCAATAGGCCTGTGCGGATGATTTTTCGAAACAACTGCCATTTACCCAAAATCGACTCGATAGGCCCCATCCGAACCGTTGCCCGTATCAGATACGAAACTAGACAATCGACAGAGCATTACAGGTCGAATCCTGTCGGGCTGACCCGACCAGTTTGCAGCCCGCTTCCACCCCTAAACTTGAGGATGTGAGATCTTAGTGAATTCGCCCGCACCCGATCGCAAGTCCGTTTGCCAATCGTACTGCACAGACTATCCGCATCACTTACAGAGCTCAGAATCATCGCTTATTCTTAATCCTATACTAGGGTGCTCGGACTTCGAAAGGCACGAGACACTTGAATCCTGCGAAGAGGAAATTGCTGAAAAATTGCGCTGAAGCCATTGGGCGCTTCGCGTTAACGAGACACCTCGGCTATTGTTGATCCAATGCGTAGCTGTTCGAAATTCTCTGCAGAGAGAATTCACGGGAAATTATGGAAATAGAAAGAAGCAGCCCTATGGAAGCAGCCCACTTTTCCCTTTCCATATCGTATACTTACAAATTTGGATGATGTGACCCATTTTAATGTTTTGGGACGGCGCGCCTTGAAATGCGTAATATAACATGACATTGCAGATTATGAAGGTAGTTACTCTAATAACTACCTGCAATCCCGAAGTCGGAGAGAGGTTTGCTTGCCTGCATTAATAGAAATGTGGACGAAATCACGGAAAGCCCCGTATTTTGTTAGGGATGCTTGAAATTCATTAATTCACGGCAGTGAGGGAGGTACTGCAGTGAGCATTGCCACTGACCATGGAGTCATTCCATGTCAAGTGGTCTAATTTTCGCGAGGTTAGTTGCTTCACCGGTAGGGATTTTCCTGTTAAAAAATCATGTGTACGGGGGGTTATGAGAAACGGATGAATCAGAAATTTCAGTTGTCTTGGTCCAACGGTCTTTGAGATGTGACCTTTGAAAGTTTGAGGAGAAAGGATCAAATGGTAACAAAGGTACTCGAAGGTAACAGACGCTACCAAAGCCTATTCCTTATTGACAATATCCTTTCCTTGAAGGGGCAATTTCATCCGGAATAATGTGTACCATGAGGGAGGAGGTTCTAGGCACATGACAGGTCGGTTGAACGTCTGAGTCGTAATATCAACACCCGTTGACGTTAGCCGCCGATGTACCCAGGGGTGTTTTTAGACCACATCCATTCGCTTCCTCCTTCGTTCCCCTCCTCCCCACGAGCCTTCGATTGCGCTCTTCTTTCCCCAATTTCATGACGGATGAATAAAAATAATCTCTCAGAAGATGAAATAATTCTAATTTCTGACTCCACATTTCATACCGACACAAGGTGGAGGAGCCATCGAACAAAATGTGAACATTTTCTCAAATTCAATAATCAAAATTAATTTATTTATCAGATACTTCTCACTTAAACATGAATTCACGAAGTTCCTGATCCCTTAATATTATGGCTGTACCGACGGCCACATTTGGCAGGTGGGCCGATGGTCGACTTTGATCTCATACCCATCGGCCGGTGAGGGTGCTGGTGCCGATTATGGTCTGTAGATTGCGAAGAAAGTAACATGAAATCGCATATAAATTCAAATCGGCCAATTTGGGAGCCAGGCGAAGCTTATCAGGGGGTATCCTTCTTAAAACGAGAGAGACCACTTTTAGTCCTGTCCAGTCTGTCTGTCTGTCTATACACTGTATATGTCCGTCAGTGGTTAGCTGGAGGTAATACGATTTCTCATTCCTTATCGCTGTTTTCTTACGCCTGTTCCAATGCTCGGGCTGAAATATAATCCGGTCGATAATTCTGTCTGGAAAAGGCCGGCAGAATTGGCTTTCATTGATAGCGCGTTTACACGCTCATGTAATTTTATTTTCGTTTTGCTCCCCCTTTGGACATCGGCATCGGCACTGGGAGCTGGCAACCCTGCTGATACATCGGTACAGCCCTACTTAAAATGCATTCGTTCAGATCCCGTTATTATTTGGCGTTACATATCCCTTGAACAGGGGATGATGGCTCTCTTGATATCATCAACCATTTGCTTCAACGAATGGATTTTGATGGGTTAATTCCACTCTTAATGTTCTTTCTCACTAGCATGAAAGCTTTTCATGCTAGATGGGATCGCATTCTCAGATACTTTCATTCGTCGTCGCCACCTTTGTTGACGTTTCTGAGCATGCCGATAGTTCTTTTTCTTCCGACTCGACGTCACCTCTGTAAGCACAAAAAGGCCCAGGTTGAACGACCGTACACTCAGTTTTGTTGGTAATGCAAAAACGGCCCTCTTGTTTTGCTGTGCTGGATTGGGATCTCCCGATTGATTCTCCGAGTTATGCAGCTATCAGGTTGTAAAGGTGAAATTTAGACATTTCGATTTTTTTCTAGAAAAATCTGGAAAATGTTAGAACTTTCTATGTAGGTGTATAAGTAGAGTGACCAGTGGGCATTGTGGGCGTGAGTGCTTATCGTGAACCTACAACAGATACATTCGGCAAGACTGAACTCTAGTCGTTGTTGAGTTAATTGTCAATAAATTGTTTTCTGGAAAATGTCTAAATTTCACCTTTACAACCTGATAGAATAGTCAAATGAGTGGTCTCAGACGTTGAGCCTGTTTCGTCTTGCACCTTAGGTCGAGGATGCCCCGGGGCGACGGTGAGGGTATGGGAGAGTCCTTCCGCGGATCCAGCCGAAGATTGTGGTGAAAATTCTACCGGCCTTCAATTCGTCTCCGAAGCGAACACACTTCGCCTCATGTTTGTGTCTCATCGTCCCTGCATTTTTCTCATTCCCCGACCTTGAAAAACCCACGAAAGCATGCACGTGTGTGATCTAGGTTCATAACAGCGGATAAGGCTGTGGGTGCTCAAGGCTTCCAAGCAATCTGGACCGAGATCAAGGACGACCCACATTGTGATGGATTCCATTGCTCAAAGAACGGCTATTGCATCTCGGACAACCTCAGGTGTAACGGGTATGAAAATTGCGGCGTCGGTGACAAAACCGACGAACTCAACTGTAAGTCTCCCTTTCGTCACCCTGCATGGACTCTTCGTTTCCCTCACCCCTTTTCCTCCCCTGCTTCTCGGTGACAGCCTATGCGTCAAAACAAAAGAACAGAA